AATACTAAAGACACCACAAAATGGAGAATGGTTAAAGAAATTTTATGATCGAGGGAGATTTATATCAAAAATAGTAATTAAAGGAAAAGAGGTATTCGATAAGACCCGAGTTCAATTCGATTAGAATTATTATGGATAAGACACGAGTTCGATTCTATCAAAGTCATTTGTGAGGTCACAAATAGCGAAGAGGGGGATAATGTAAACGGCCGAATATCAAGCATGAAAAGATGATAAAATTCAACCACCAAATGTAATTGCCAAATATTAAGAACGAACAAATTGATTATGAATTGACGTAGATGGATAAATAATTAGCCGAAAAGGATAAACATTTAGGAAGAGTAATGATCTACATGATGTAATATTTATCAAATGATTGACAAAGAACCAATAGGATAAATAGAGTAGATCAATTGAGGCTTAACAATCTTTAACAAAAAGAACAATAAGAAAGAATAATTATAAGCAACAAAAGATAGATTATAAGCAAAACACATAAAGCAGATTGAAAGAACATATAAAATAATGTCAGAAAGGTTAAAGAACATAAAATAATATAAAAGATAATATAAAAAGATTATACAAAGATATTATAAAAGATAATATAAAAGATAGCATATTAAAAGATAGCGTATTTAAAATATAGATAGCATATTAGAAAGATAGTTTAAAGATGGTATGTAAAAGAACATAAAAGATAGTATATAGATAGAATAGAAAGTAACATAAAATTTGTATAAAAAGAGAACGGAATTCAAAATAATTCCACAGTTCTCATTCACAGAACTCAATAAAAATATAAGTTTCATTTAATTATTTGTTAATGAAGTTTAATGTTAATTAAAGGTAATAGGTTCGCCCTAAACTTTAATTAATGTTCACTTAATTAATTTTAATTAAACAAATGAAAATTTTAAGATGAATTAAATATATGTTTTTGAAAAGTAATAATTCGTAGCGAGAGCTATCGAAGTTTGAAATTAAAGATAAAAAGTGGATATAATTTGGGGAAAATTTAGAGAAGTTAAATTTTATTTTATATCGTTTAATGTTTTATATTACTAACGCTATTTATGTCATGAACCAAGAATGTTGTTATATGTTGTTCATTGATTTTGTTGTTCGTTAATTATGTTGTTGATTAATTGTTTGCTCGTTTAATTGTTCGTTCTTTCGTTTATTCGTTCGTTCGACCATGAGAATGCCCGTTCGATGTGGCAACTCTGTAAATTGATGACAGAGGGAAATGGGGATCTCAACGCAATTTCATCTGATAAAGAAACAACCTATAAAGACTGCGGAGCCCAGAAGAACGGTATTACAAAAAAATACCAAGAAGAAACCCACCACTACCGCTCTGATCAATAAAATGGTCGAACCCTATACTCCGCAACAGTTTTTCGACCAGGTAGCCAACATCACGAATGGACAATTGTTGGCGATGAATCCTAAGTTTGGTCTAACGATAGCAAAACAGCTACAAAAACCGGTCATACGAAAGAAAGATGAGGATTCTGAGAAAATTCAAACCAAAAACACTGTTAATAATGAGACGCCAGAAGACAGAGGTATAGCGGAACTACAAGATTTGATGCAGGCGAACACATCAAGTAACAGCAAGTCCTCCGCCTTATATTGTGATGCCTCGATCAAACATATACAATTTCCATTGATCTTGGATTCTGGATCCGCCGGTAGTATTATCTCCCTGTCTTTGTTAAAAAATCTAGATATGGAGATAACTAAAGCATCAAAAACGGTGATGGTAAACGTAAATGGTGAACGGCGAAGACCACTAGGAGCCGTATCAGATATTCCTTTAAAAATACACGATCAGATCATCCCTATGGACGCTATTGTGACTGATGCTGATTCTTACGCAGCAATAGTCGGTAATGACTGGTTGCGAAAAACTAAGGCCATCTTGGATTATGATAATGATACTATGACAATTAAATGGAAAGGTGATGTAATTAAAGTATCAACCGAATGTCGGGAGACGCCACATCACATCATCAGTATCGAAGTACCGGATCTGTCTCTTATACACATCTAGATGTGTATAAGAGACAGNCTATACTGTCATATGCAGTTCATCACCCAAAAGGAAGCCCAGGAAATCGAAGATGGACTAAGGGGAACGGCTCTGATCGAAAACGATTATTATTACCAGTATAAAGAGATCGAGATGGGAAATTTCCATACCAGAACTTTGGATGAGAACCAGTAACAGCAATTTCATGAATTCATAAAAAAATATAATAATCTGTTTGCGTGGAACTCAAACGATTTCGGTCGAACATCAGTGGTTACACACACTATCGATACCGGAGGTGCGACCCCCATCAAGCAAAGATTTTACCGGACGTCACATCAGAATCAGTTGTTCATCAAAGAGGAAATACAACGACTCTTGGAGGCCGGTCTAATTGTGCCATCAAGTAGTCAATGGACTTCTCCCGTGGTTGTAGTAGAAAAAAAGAACGGGAAGAAGCTCCTTTGTGTGGATTATCGGAAACTCAACAAGGTCACTAAAAAGGATTGCTATCCTTTACCACGAATAGACGATATGTTGGAGACATTATCAGGATCTCGATGGTTCTCGTCCTTAGACCTTGCCAGTGGCTTTTGGCAGGTCGAATTGGACCCAAAAGATCGAGAAAAATCAACGTTCATCACCAGGTTCAGGACGTATAAGTTTACTGTGATGCCTTTTGGCCTCTGTAACGCTCCCGCAACCTTTCAACATCTAATGGATATGGTGTTACAAGACATTCTTTGGCAGTTCACGGTAGTATACATCGACGATATTAATGTAGGGTCGAAAACCTTCGAAGAGCATTTGGTGCATCTGGAACAGGTTTTCTCACGTCTAGAGAAGGCCGGTTTAAAATTAAGTCCTGAGAAGTGTTTCTTTTTTAAAGAAGAACTTCCTTTCCTAGGACATGTGGTGAGCCGAAAAGGCATCCATACCGATCCTGAAAAATTACGCACCATCAACGAATTTCCCATTCCGAAAGACTTAACGCAATTAAGGGAATTCATTGCGCTGGCCTCGTATTACCGGAAGTTCGTGAAGAACTTCTCGTCTATCGTTGAACCGTTGAATAGGTTATTAAAGAAAAATATCCCGTATATTTGGGATAAAGATCAACAAGCCGCATTTGAAAAATTAAAGACTTGTTTAACAACGCCACCTATATTGGCGTATCCTGATTTCGAAAAACCGTTCTTGTTATATACTGACGCCTCTACTTTTGCGTTGGGCGCAATATTATCCCAAAAGGATGACGATAAAAAAGAACGCGTCATTGCTTATGCGAGCCGGACTCTAAATAAGCATGAACGGAACTATAGTGTCATGGAACTGGAGTGTCTTGCGGTTATATGGGCCGTCAAGCACTTTCATCATTATTTGCACGGACAACGATTTACCGTTGTAACTGATCACGCCGCTTTAAGGTATTTAATGAACATGTCGAACCCTGTTGGTAAGCTCGGAAGATGGTTGATGACTCTTAACGGATATGATTTGGAAATAGTTAACCACCCCGGAAAACAACACACCAACGTCGATACACTAAGCCGAATAAGAGTTTAATACAACCCATATTTTTTTTTATATATATATACACACCGGATTAACGCATTTTTTTTTTTGACACCACTTAACGGACTTCCCATTATTGATTTAACGGAATGGATACCACCACATATTATTTATTAATACGATTTTTGACGGATTTATCATTACCAACAGACATGACGAAAAAACAACAAGATGCAATAAGACGAAAAGACCGATACTTTATTGTATTGAATGATCAGTTATACAAAAGAAATAAAAACAACCCAAATAGACCTATTAAGGTTGTGAAAGAAAACGAAATTGGAGAAATTTTACATTTTACCCATTCAGATCCGCTGGCCGGACACTTTTCCTTGGACGAAACCTATAGGCGAGTAAAGGTTCGCTATTACTGGCCACAGATGTACGAAGATGTTCGTAGATATGTATGAACTTGCGACGAGTGCCAAAGAAGGGAGGAAATCGACGTGTAGAACCTCTACACCCGATCAAAGTTGGAATGCCTTTTGACAGGATAGGCATAGATATCGTAGGACCCCTTCCCACAACAAAGAAAGGCAACAAGTATATAGTTGTTGCCACTGAATATCTTACCAAATGGCCCGAGGCACGAGCCCTTCCTGATGCAAAAGCTTCTTCAGTTGTGTCTTTTTTCTATGAAGACATAATCTGCTGCCACGGGTGCCCAAAAGAAATATTAACCGATCGTGGGTCCCATTTTGTTAATGAAATGTTGGATTCATTATGTGATGAGCTTGGGGTAAAACATCGATTATCAACTGCCTATCACCCCCAAACAAATGGTCTTGTGGAGCGTTTTAATAGGACATTGTGTGAGGCGTTGGCGAAATTTTCAAATGAAAATCATGATGATTGGGACATGTATGTGTCCTCTGCCTTGTTTGCATATCGTGTAAGAAAGCAAAGCACCACGCGTCACGAACCATTTTATCTCATGTATGGAAGAGATGCTGTTCTACCTGTAGATTTTGCAGTAAAGACTATGCAAGCTGAACTGCATGAAGGAGATTCACAAGATGATTTATTAGATAGAATACGCATGCTTACTGGAAGAGTCACAGAAGACAGATTGATGACTCAAGAAGCCATATATGAAGCACAACAGCAGCAGAAGCAGCGTCATGATGAAAATCTTGTGAGAATATTTTACAAGATTGGTGATCTTGTATTATTATATAAAAGTCAGCTGAGGGGAAAGAAAAAGCTGCAAGACCGTTGGAAGGGTCCTTATTATATTCACGAGGATTTGGGGAACGGAGTTTACAAATTAAGGACATTACAAGGAGACATTTTAAAAACCCCAGTAAATTTGGAACGTTTGAAACTTTACAATCAATGGTGATAACGTAATGCATATATGTACATAATGTATTACAAATAATTAGACCGAAGATCATTTTTTTTTGGGGATTAATATGTTTAATGTTTAATGAAAAAACATATATATATACATTTTTTTTTATCATTTTTTTTATTATTTTTATTATTAGTATGGAACCCTATCAAAGTATCCTAGAAGATTTACTACAAACAACTCCAGTTGAAGTGACACCTTTTCCACTTCCCTATAAACCTAATATGAAGCCTGAAAGAAAATTTGAAATTCTTTGTAATGCTTTGAACCGGATTAAGCATTTTAACAATCGGCTTTTACTCCTTGTTCACTTATATTATTTGGGTCGATTTTTGGAAAAAGAAACTGAGTCCAGTGTGCAGCGCAGTTACTTTGTGCGACAGTTAACTGCACATTACAGGACCTCTGCTACTAGGATTTTTTATATTTTCGAAATTCCAGGAGCCAAACAAATTATGAGAACTAAAAAGACCAACGTATCATTGCTGAGAGAACTTAACACTCAAGAATATCAAGGTTTAGTTCTACAAGCTTCGGAAATTTTCAACGGAGTTGAAAATTAGGGAGGGGATGATGTCATGTGATCGTCATGTGCCACTCCGAAATTGATCGATGTTGCAAATGTTTAACTTGATTGACATGTCGGACATAATTAATATGCCGAACATGATTAACATGTCGAACCTAATCAACATGTTGGTTATGATCAACGTATTGAACATGTTAGTCATATTATACATAGTAAATATATTAAATTTCTTCTTATATGTATAATTTATTATAAATATAGGTCAATTTTCTTGTTGTAAAAAAGGAGGGAATAAATAAAGTTTTCATTTTTAAGTTATAAAGTGACAGTTTTTATCAAGTGAAATCCTTTATTCGTGTTTGGAAGTATATGCTGACGTACAGCGCTATACAACACGTCTGATCGGATAAATTTTGATATATTGTTTGTCTATACACTACATAAACCTTCTGCTACCTAACCATACAAATTGCTTAATAATTTTAAGCGTAAAGAACTGATACAACAGTATCACAAAAGATCCTATAACAAAAGAACTTATGTTTATAATGAAATATGCAAATGGAGGGGATTTACATAATTATTTACAAGAGAATTTTACAGAGATTACATGGAAGAAAAAATTGCACATTTTGTGGCGAATTTCAGATGGGTATTTATAACTTAATTTAATTAATAATGATTTTGAAATTATTTAAATAAAATATTATTAATAATCAATTTTTTATTTTAGACTTCAAACTATTCATGAAAAAGATTTCGTACATCGAGATTTTCATAGTGGAAATATATTGATTGAAATAATTGAAAATGATTCATGCAAAATAGATCAATATCTAATCGGAGATTTAGGATTATCACAGCCTGCAAATGACATTCCACATGATAGCAGTATATATGGAGTAATACCTTATATTGCACCAGAAATATTTAAGGGCGTCAAATTTTCTAAATCATCTGATATTTATTGTATGGGCATGATTATGTGGGAATTAACAACTGGTTGTAAACCTTTTGATAATGTTGAACATGATATTGATTTAATTTATAAAATTATTGATGGAAAACGGCCTAATATTACTGACGACACTCCCGAAGATTTTGCTAATTTAATGAAAAGATGTTGGAATCCTGATCCTAAAATGAGACCTTCAGCAACTGATGTTTGTGAAATTTTTAATTCTTGGTCAAATATGGGAATGGATGCCGAATATTTTAATCAAGCTGAAGAAATAAGATTAGAATTTATAAAATTAAAAATGCTTGGACCAGATTTTAATGAAAAACCTCATCCAAAAGCAATTTATACAAGCAGATCATTAAGTTCTTTAACCGGTTCACCTTCAATTTTAACGTTTAATACGAAACCAAGTATGTAATCATTATTTTTTATATAAATTTGGACAATATTACAACATTTTAAAATTTAATAATTATTATCATCTTAGATAATAGACTTATTGAAGAATCAATCAACAATAAAGGTATTAAGTTATTTTTTTTAATCTGTACATTAAGGAATTTATTAATTACTTGATTTTTTTTCTTTAGAATATATTACAAAAGAATATGAGTTTGATATAAACGAAATTTAAAGGTACAATTAAAAGTTTTCTAGATTTCAGAAGTAATTCAATAAATCCAAGGGAAACAAGATGCAACTGAAGATTTTACTAAATAAAATTTTTTATCATTTTTATTCTATTTTATTTATTATATTTCTTTTTTGAAAAAAAGGAATGCATATTAAAGTTAATAACAATGTTAACACAGAATCTTATGAATAGAAACTTTTGTAATTATGTTCTGCATTTATTAAGTTATTTATTTATTTTTCTTTTTTGATAGAACATTTATTTATTAATACAATTACTATTCGTTGAAATTAAGATTATAATTACGTCTAAATTGTAAATCTTAAAATACTCATTAGTTGCGATAATATTAACATCTTATGCATTTTTTTATGTAGTAAATGTAAATAAATAATAAGTAGTAAAGTTATAACTTTTCAGATAAAACTATTTGTACACGTGAATGTACATAGCTTTTCTCGTATACGAACCAATTCATGATAATAAAACTATAAAACACTTTTTGACTGAATATGTAAATACAGTAAATACTTTTGAATTAATCATCAATTTTACAGCAAAATTTCTAATTTTTCTATATTACTTTCATTAATTAATTTTACAAAAACAATAATAATTGATAATGGTTCTTTTGTACCAAGTTTTAATTTACAAAGGCAAGAAGTTGTATTTTAAGATCTGTCATATTTATTTTGAATTCAAAAGTATCACTGTAATTAAATTCCAACAAATAATTCTCTTGATTACGTTATCTCAATCCTCATCATCATAATGAAATAATCAGATTCTAACGAATAGTTCTCTTAATTCATCAGGAAATTTTTAGGTAGATCAATCCACCAAAAGTTAGTTTAGAAATACGTGGAATTTTACACATTGAATTGTGTGAACTAGTATCCGCACAGAACCACACATTTCATAATAGAAATATGTGGATTTCTGAGATTTTTGTGCATCGTAAAATTTCATTGAAAATTCGTAGAATTCTTTAGTGGAATAAGTGGAATTCGTCTGAAGATACTACTGCGGAGTTCAAGAAATTACTAAATAACACAGTATAACAGTGCTAGTTAAAAACATACTAAATATACTAATATAAATTAAATATAGAGAATATAGAACATGCCTTATTAATATATAATAAATTTTTTTTTGTGGCTCAAAGAATAAATATAAGATATAATCTAGATAATTGTTCAAAAAAAATTAAATAGTACAGTGGTTAGATCGTGAGATACGGTATATTAATAGTTGTTTGGTTCAGTCCTGAGGCAAGAATAAATTAATATAATCTAATTAAATATTATCCTATATTAATCCATATGTGACGACCTTGAACTCTGTAAATCCATTCAACATGTTTCGAATGTTTCGTCAGAGGGTAACTTGAAATTTCCATGATGGTTCCACATATAATTCTCTGCAGATTTTAAACGGCAAAAACTTCCTGATGCATGTTATTGTTACCCCTATCTTTATCATCATAATTAGATTCTAATGAATAATTAATTCTCTTGATTATCAATACCCATACGTTTGGCTACAAAAATTTATTGCAATACTAGGAAAACTTTCAAATTTGCTTTTTATTTACTGCATTTACATATTTAATAAAGAGCTAATATCTCAAAATAGATTGCATCAACAAAAAATCATGTATTAAACAATTATATGGACATGTAAAAGAAATTTTTTAATTTTATTAATAAGAATATGAGTACATACTGACTAGTCTAAATATTATATTCATCATCAACAAAATCTGTAACTTTAAATTTCTTAATAACGCCTAATTTAGTATATTTATTAATTATTTCAATATTTTCATCATTTTTATCTAAGCTATTTTCTTCATCATATATAACAATTACTAAAGAAAGTGATTTTTGTGGTACACGATTTGTCCAATTTACGAAAAAGGATTCTAATTCTTCTGGAAGTAAATTAAATCGTACGGTAAATATAGATTCAGAACTTGATAACTTTCAGGTACATTATAAAATTTTAAAATATATAATTATAAGTATTTTATTAATATTCTTTGATCTATTATTTTAGAAAATGATTATTGATTGGGCAAATAAATTTATTAATTTATTTACACCAATTGCAGATACTGAAATGAAATACCCAAAACTACACAATTGGCAACATCACATTATTGATGCTATACGAAACTATGGTACAATTAATGGTTTCACGACTGAAACTTATGAGTCGTTACATAAATTTTATATTAAAGCTCCATATAGAATGTCCAATCGGCGGGATGCAACTTCACAAATAATTAATTTGGTATAGTTCAATTATCATACCATAACTATTAATTTATTATATAAAATTAATCAATCATTTATATCATATTAGGTGCGACATGATAGTATTTTAAATTATCTCCAAAAAATAACATCTCCACCTTCAATCAAGAAGCATCGTCAAATTAGAACATTAGGTGGAATCGAGGGCAGCTTTACATTAGATACCTTTAATGACTTTGTTGATGAATATAGAACTACTCACTTTTTAGCATTAGAAGCTGAAAAAGCATTTGAAGTATTAATTGACTCATTAAATCAATATTTTGATCTTATCGAAAATATTACTAATAAAGATATTGAAGCAACAATTATTAAGTGGTATACTAGTGCATTTATTAGAGAAGTTGATACTATACGAGCTAAAAGCAATTATTAAAATGCACCTACTTTTAGTGATATTGCAATTAATATGAACAAAGAGGAGGCTGAAAAATATAATACAATTGATGGAGTATGTTTTGCAAAGGTAAAAATAAGAATTATTATTTTGCATATTTTTATTTATTTATAAAAAAATTTTTTTATTAGATTTTAATGTTATTTGGATTAAAAATTCCCAGTCATGATGAACAAGAATTGGCATTAGTTCATTGGTATAATTTTAAATACAATGACTTACACAGCTTATTTAAATATGATTGTACATAAGTAAAACGTATTCCAATGTTTACTGTTATAGCAATTGAATCTATTATTGAACCTGTTCACATTATTCCATGTTTCAATAAAACAAATGAATATTTTGTAAATTATTTTATTTTTTAAATATAGTTCATCTATTTTTTGAGATTAGTTAGGTACTGTATGTTTTTCTTTTTTGTATTTGTTTCTTGTGTTTTATTTTCTTACTAACTTATTTTATTTCTTTTATTCTTTAACTTTATGGGTTTTATTTTTTATGGAATTATGGTTTTCATCCTTTTGACCTTTTAAATTATTTTAGTTCTACCCTTTTTATTTTTGTTCTTGAACACCCTTCTATATATTTTCTTTCTTTTCGTTCCCTTTTCTTTTTTTTTGTTCCAATTTTTCCTCTTTCGTTTCCTTTTGTTTTTACTTTCTCATTTTATTTGGTATTTCTTTTTAGATTTAAAGACACATCTAATATTAAGTTTGGAGAAAGTAGAATTTCGTCCTTTTCATTCTTTAACCTTAGCATTTCGTCCTTTTTATTCTTTTATTTGTTATTTTCATTCTTATCTTTGATGTTTTGCCCCTTTCATCTTTTAAACTTTGAAATTTCATTATTTTCATTCCTAACATTGCAGTTTTCATCTTTTTATCTTTAATATCAGGGGTTTTGTTTCTTTGTAAAATGTGACACATATTGAAAGAATTAATTAATAAAAGAAATTACTTTGGATTGCTATATTTGTTTGTTTTAATTAATGCTTTAATTTTATTTTTTAAAAATATTTTTTATAAAAAAAAAGTGGGATTTTTTTTATCGAAGTTAAAAAAAATTAGTCAATTAGAGTTTAACCAATTAAAATTGAATTTTAAGAGAGGGTGAGTAATATCCCAATTTGCACTTGTAATTTGTTTTTAAACGTAAAAAAAAAAATTGAAATGTGCATAAAACAAGATATTAAACAGTGCATTAAACTATGCTAAATGATCAGTGCGCAGTTTTAACTAATGATCATTGCACAAAATAATCAGTGTGTTGTTTATTGTTGATTGGTGATGATCATTGCAATGATTAACATATTGAATTTTACAGTGTTTTTTCAATGCATTGTTTTATGCCGATCTAATTTACTGATGTTATTATTTACATCCAAACTTGACTGAAAGTTATTTCAAATGCTAACCGAACTTTGGTCGAAATTCTAAGCCAAACTTTAGGCGAGTGGCAGCGAACTGCAGCCAAAAAATCGGCTAAAGTTCATTTAGCTTTAGACTAAAATTCAGCCTAAAATCAGCTGGCCGAATTTTGGCTGATTTGGACTATTTTGACCAGTGACCCCCTCCTTTACTAAAATTTAATAGTACTGAAAATTTCTGATTTTACCAAAAATTTCCAAAATTTTTAATATGTTTAATTTTCATGTTTGTTTAAATTATCCCCTCCCCCCTCAAAATTTTTGGCTGAAAAAGGATGTTAAACTAATTATTAATTTGGAACGGCCTTAAATTAAATAGTAAAGACTACAGTGGTTAGATCGTGAGATATGATATTGTAAGTTAAGGTAACCAGTTCAGTTCCTAAGGTGAGTAAAAATAAATAAATAAATATAATTTAATTAAAATATACACATCATCAGGAAATTTGTTTAGACGTAATTTAGTGTAATATTTCAGAGGTGGTGTAAAATTTTGAAATATTACACTAAAATCGTAATATTACAAAAGTTTACGCTCTTAAATTTGAATAATAATAGTAATTTAAGAATATCTCATTATCTACTGATCCAATCAAGACGATCTATAGCTCATTGGAATCAGCTCATCAAGACGAATCGAATGGTAGTAAAAACACATTTCTACAGTTAATAGAACGCTCTATAGTATGCAATAAAGTTTTAAATTAATAGAAAGTTATCTATCAAATGTAGAGATATGATTTTACTATCATTCGATTCGTCATGATGAGCTGATTCCAATGAGCTATAGATCGTCTTGATTAGATCAGTAGATAGCGAGATATTCTTAAATTACTATAATTATTCAAATTTAAGAGCGTAAACTTTTGTGTTAATACTTTATCGGACTTGAACATGTTGACTTTTTTCTATGATTGCAAATCAATTTAAATTAGGTAATAGTTAACATGAATTAGTCCTGTAAAAAATATCACAATGAAGCATGAGCAAATATAGTATTGTAAAATAATGAGACTATGCAGTTATTTCAAGTTCACGCTGTTTACATTTAATAAAATATGATCTGGTTTTATATCTACCTTCTATGCTGTCATCATCATCATGATCTAAACTGCATAATGGGCATGATGTCTCATCAGTATTTTCATAATAATCGAAATTTTTGCTACTAAATTCTCTATATAAATTAGGATATTGATCTAATGTTTTGCTACAAAAGTAGGATCGATTATAAGTTAGCTTAGATTGAGGTACTTTCAGAGGAATATATGTATTAGTCAGATTAATTTTTGAAGTCACATGACTCTGATCGTGAAGAATCTTCATGGTTTCATTGTGTGAACTTGTCACTGAATTCACATGATCTATAATATTTTGTATTTGTGGGTAACTGAGGCTCAAAATAGCATCTGTACTATAAGAGACCTGTTTAATTTTCTCTATTCCTACATCAGCAAGTTTTAAACAGGCGTATAAAGTGTTGAAAAATGCCATGTGTTGCTCAACGCCAAAAAACGTAGGGAAATGAACCCTTTGTCAATCAACGCTACTTAAAAACGTTTAAAAACGCGTAAACAACAACAATTTAAATGTAAAACTACATGTAGTAAAACAACGATAGTTTAAAAACATGTATACAATGTATAAAAATGCATATATTGATATTAAAAACGTGTATAGCAATGGTTTGTACGATAGTTAACTTTATAGTAATTTATTAATATAATTTATTGTATATTATTTAACATATAAAATTTAATTGTAAATATTATAAATTTATTTATAAAATACAGTAAAATACAAATAATACAAATACATTATCTAAAAAATTTAATTCCTCTTGTTATAATTGGATTGCCGCAGATTTTTAAGCGATCAATGTACTAAATTTCCGTTGACAAAGCGCCCCTGGTGACACAACAATAACAAGGTGGGATTTCAAATAAAAAAAACACAAATAAAAGTTTCGTTAAAGAAACTTACACAATCTGATCCAAGTCTATCTACAAGAAAGAAAAAGGAAACGTTAGAAACGTTTCTATTAAAAACATATATATATAGTTTCGAGAAGAAAATTACCATTTCAAGTTTCCAGTTGAAGACGAGCTTAAACCTACAAAAAATAATCAAGAGACATTAGCAAGCGTTTATATTAAAAAAAAAACAAAAAAAAAATATTTCGCAAAACTTACCAAATCTAAGTTTCCGAATTCAAAACGGCTGAATCTACAACAACTAACCAAGATATGAATTCCCGAAACCTAAATAAAAGAAAAAGGAAATGTCAGTAAACATTTCCTAATTAAAAAGAAATAAAAAAAGAATAACGGAAGTTTCGTAGCGAATGAAACTTACCGTTTCATGACCCATGTCCAAAACCATATTCTTGAACCTACAAAAAAAAGATAAACGTTCAGTTAGAACGTTTTTTAAAGAAAAAAACAAAAAAACGGAAGTTTCGTTGCAAACGAAACTTACCGTTTCAGGACCTGTATCCAATACCAGATATTTCTGAACCTACAAAAAAGAAAGGAAACATTAGTAAACATTTCCTAAAAGTAATAAAAAAAAAATAATAAGTTTCAAAGCGAAACTTACCATTTCAGTCGAATACTGTAAATCCTACACAAAAAGGAAAAAAAAGGAAACGTTAGAAACGTTTCCTTACAAAAAAAGAATTAAAAAAAATTTTTAAAAAAGTTTTGAAGCTAAAACTTACCCTTTCATTTCCCATTTTCCAAAGCCAAAAATAACGAAAGACCTACAAAAAAAAATAAAGGAAACGTTAGAAACGTTCCTTATAAAAAAGTAAAAAAAAAAACATTTTATAACGAAAGCTTTAAAACTTAACTTTCGTTTCCAAGTTTTCCAAAGTCACCGAAATCCCTACACAAAAAAAAATACAGGAAACATTAGAAACGTTCCTTATAAAAAAGTAAAAAAAAAAAATTTTTATAATGAAAGCTTCAAAAACTTAACTTTCGTTTCCAAGTTTTCCAAAGTCACCGAAATCCCTACACAAAAAAAAGAAAGGAAACGTTAGAAACGTTTCCTAAAAGAAATTAAAAAAAATAATAAAAGTTTCAAAGCGAACGCTTTGAAACTTACCATTTCGTTTTCTGAGGTCAAACACACTGAAAGGCCTATAAAAAGAAAGTATCGAAACATTAGAAATGTTTCCTAAAAAGTAATTTAAAAAAATATTTTTTTTTTTAAAGTTTCGACGTGTTGAAACTTACTGTTTTAAATATACTGAATCGAACACACTGAAACCCTACAAAAAAAATATAGAAACATTAGTAATGTTTCCTAAAAGATAAAAATAATTTTAAGAGTTTCAAAGCGAACGCTTTGAAACTTACCGTTTTCAATATTCCAAACTGAAAATAAGCCAAAAGACCTACAAAAAAATACAGGAAACGTCAGTAATGTTTTCTAATTAAAAAAAAACTTTAAAAAAAAAAGTTTCAAAGTGAAACGCTTCGAAACTCACCATTTCGCTCTGAAGTATAATAACGAAGGTCCTACAAAAAAAACCAAAGGAAACGTTAGAAACGTTCCTTCATAAACAAAATAAAATTAAAAAAAAAGTTTTAAAGCAAACGCTTCGAAACTTACCATTTGGAAAATGGGAGTACGAAAGGGAAAGGGAAAACGAAAATGGAAGGGGATAACGAAAAGGGAAAGGGAATAACAAAAAGGGGAAGGGAAGAACGAAAGGGAAAAGGAAGAAATAAAATAAAAATGGGGAAAACGAAAAGGGGAAGGAGATAACGAAAGGGAAAGACACGTTTTAATTGCTAAATTATTTTTTTATATCAAAATCTCAAATAAAGAGATTTTTTATGTATATTTAAAAAGTTTTCTATAATTTATTTTACTTAATAAATTTACTTTTTCCAAGAAAAAAATAATACAGAAACACTTTTAAAAAATGATTTTTTCTCAATATTCGTAAAGGGAAAGGGGAAAACGAAGGGGAATAGGAAGAACAGAACGAAAAGGGAAAGGGAAAAATAACGAAAAGGGAGAACGAACGTTTTTTGACATTTCGTTAAAAAATGAAATGAAAAAAAATCAGAACGTTAG